CAGCATCCCATAAGGGCACTGGTTCATGTACCAGATGTTCCTCTTCCAATCCAGCTCTCTGTTGATGCATGTGGGAAAGCAGTGGAAGATGGCCCAAGTGCCTGGGCCTCTGCACCCAGGTGGGAGACCCAGAAGAAGCTCCTGGCTCCTGATCGGCTCAGCTCCAGCCATTTCAACCACTTGGGGAGTAAACCAGCAGGTAGAAGACCTCTCTGTCTCTCCCTTTCTCTCTCTCTAATTCTGCCTCTCAAATATATAAATAAATAAATCTTTAAAAATGTTTTATTTTTATTTTTTTTTATTTTATCTTTTTTTTTGACAGGCAGAGTGGACAGTGAGAGAGAGAGACAGAGAAAAGGTCTTCCTTTTGCCGTTGGTTCACCCTCCAATGGCTGCCACGGCCGGCGCGCTGCGGTCGGCGCGCCGCGCTGATCTGATGGCAGGAGCCAGGAGCCAGGTGCTTTTCCTGGTCTCCCATGGGGTGCAGGGCCCAAGCACCTGGGCCATCCTCCACTGCACTCCCTGGCCACAGCAGAGAGCTGGTCTGGAAGAGGGGCAACCGGGACAGAATCCGGCGCCCCAACCGGGACTAGAACCCGGTGTGCCGGCGCCACTAGGCAGAGGATTAGCCTAGTGAGCCGCGGCGCCGGCCCCTAAAAATGTTTTTACCAAATTAGTATCACCTAGTTTTTTTTTTCCTTTTGGAGTTGTTTGTTTGTTTTATAATGATCAATTCCAAACACAGTACAGGGACGATGGAATGAATACAAAAAAATATTATTTTCCCATTAACACTAATTCATATTATTCAGAATGTTTCAAAATCCTTAGCCAGATAACCAATTTCAGTTACCATCTTAGTTCAAATGTTCACCAAGAAAATAGTCAAGTAACAGAAAGCCATTATGAGAAACCATCTAGAGAGGAGCTACAATGCTATCTATAACTTAATTTAAGAGGTTATTCTCTCAATATTTAGCAAGTTTGCTTAAAAATTACTATTCCAATTAGTTTATAGCAACATTAATATAAATGTATAATTTCAAAGACAACATTCCTTTCACTGTGAACCTGAAACTTGTAAAATATAGCATGAGGGGGAGTACAATAAGGACTGTGGCTGTGGGGACAGTACGGTTAAAGCCAAAATGATTGGCAGCATTGGAAAGGCATAAACTGTATATACACACTCTCAGGATGCTACTATTTCCCACATTTTTGTCTTTGCCTACTTGATTCATAATATGGTATAAATAATTTCCTCAAATTTGAAGATTATCAAGATGAATACATTTTCATCTTCATTTCAAAATAACTTTTTTTTTTTTGACAGGCAGAGTGGATAGTGAGAGAGAGAGAGAAAGAGACAGAGAGAAAGGTCTTCCTTTGCCGTTGGTTCACCCTCTAATGGCCGGCACGGCCAGGCGCACCGCGCTGATCCGATGGCAGGAGCCAGGTACTTCTCCTGGTCTCCCATGAGGGTGCAGGGCCCAAGCACTTGGGCCATCCTCCACTGCACTCCTGGGCCACAGCAGAAAGCTGGCCTGGAAGAGGGGCAACCGGGACAGAATCCGGTGCCCTGACCGGGACTAGAACCCGATGTGCCGGCGCCACAAGGTGGAGGATTAGCCTAGTGAGCCGCGGCGCTGGCTCAAAATAACTTTCTTAAATGAAAAAGTTTCTCACATTTGTTAAATCTATCCTAGAGATGAATTTAAGTATTTTCTTCACTACATGTTTAATTTTTCCACCCTATCTTAGTGCCTCATTACAATCAGTTTGGCAATAAGACCTCTCTACTACTCCATGAAAAACTGCATTCAATAGATTATAAGATTGTTACACCAGGGCCGGCGCTGTAGCTCACTAGGCTAATCCTCCGCCTTGCAGCGCTGGCACACCGGGTTCTAGTCCCGGTCAGGGCGCCGGATTCTGTCCCAGCTGCCCCTCTTCCAGGCCAGCTCTCTGCTGTGGCCAGGGAGTACAGTGGAGGATGGCCCAAGTACTTGGGCCCTGCACCCCATGGGAGACCAGGATAAGTACCTGGCTCCTGCCATCGGATCAGCGCGGTGCGCTGGCTGCGGCGGCCATGAGAGAGTGAACCCAGCGGCAGAGAGAGAACCTTCCTCTCTGTCTCTCTCTCTCACTGTCCACTCTGCAAAAAAAAAAAAAAAAAAAAAGAAAGAAAATTGTTACACCTGCACCCAAATCCAAATCCTTAAATACTACAACAAAGTCTAAAAATTGTATGGCCATTGTATGGCCATTCATCAACACCCTTGCAGCAATTAGCAATTATATTGCAAATAACATCACATATGTATTCAATTCAAATTTTGTGAAGAAAGGGTGTAAAATAAATACTACAGCATTTCTTCAACTCTATTTAATGCTGCCTAGGGTTAAATGAAAAGATTAATATTACCAAGAGGAAGAATCAAATGGTTTTAAGGTCTGTTTTCTAAGTAGTTAGAAAAATTTCACAAAACAAAGAATCTATGCCAACACATCTTTCTTGTAGTGTAATATAACTGCTAATATAAGGCAAATCTGTAAGTAATCAATACAAATGTGAGTATAAACAGGTTTAAGCCACCACTAAGTCACAGTCTGATGAAAGACTTCTCAGCTAAAGTATCTGGGGATAGGCTTATGGGAAGTGAGAAGGGGTGAACAGGTTTCCAGTAAGAATACCTTGTATGTGCCTTATCATTAGCATATATACATAATAGTCCACTGTTGCAAAAAAGGTATATTCTTTCCAAGTACACTGGCCTAGAATATATTTTATGTAGCATAGTAAGATTATAAAAGAATTACTAATGTTTCATTAGCATTTATATTCAGATAGACACATAATAATAAATTCATATCAAAAACTATTTTAAAGCACTTTTAAAGCACTTTTATCTCATTTTGGAAAAGTTTACAATTTATGTTCTACAGAATTTTCTATAATATCTAAACTCAGGGGCAAAATGAAAGGATAACATTACTATCTCTTTAGTAAATGGCTTGTGCGAGACCTCAAGCTTACTCATCTTTTTATAGATGGGTTTATCTGATGAGGATTGTAATCCAATGATTGTTTAGCAGCAATTTTATCAAACTGTAAATTCTTTTATTAACAGGCATTGCTGATCTTATTTAAAACAGAAAATACTAATCTTATTTTTAAAAAAATGAGTGCCACAACGGTGAATATACAGCTCATGAATAACTTAAAAAGTATTTCCCATTTGAAAACGCAATACGCAAATCGCCTTGCGGCCTTTTGGCTAAGATCAAGTGTAGTATCAAGTGTAAAGGGCAATATACAGGGCTGGGCTGTGGCTCAGCGAGTTAAAGTCCCATATGGGCGCCAATTCCAGTCTTGGCTGCTCCTTTTCTGATCCAGCTCTCTGCTATGGCCTGGGAAATCAGTAGAAGATGGCCCAAGTCCTTGGGCCCCTGCACCCGCGTGGGAGACCCAGAAGAAGCTCCTGGCTCCTGGCTTCGGATCAGCGCAGCTCCGGCTGTTGCAGCCATCTGGGGAGTGAACCAGCAGATGGAAGACCTCTCTCTCTGTCTCTATCTCTCTAACTCTTTCAAATAAATAAAATAAATCTTAAAAAAAAAAAAAAAGGCAATATACAGCATACAAAAACCTATACTAAACAAAGAAGCTATAATGTGGATACATGATTGACGTGTCTAAAATGATACATATACAGCACATAATTAATGTTAATTATGTGATCAGTACATTTTTCTGGATGATTCCCTTCATTCTTCACTTCCTCCAGAAACTGAATTCTGAACCTTCCTCTTCTAAAATTGGTACAATTGGGTTATCCTTGGACATCAAGTTGTATTTCATCACAAATGTAGTAAACCAATGACACAAAAATGTTTCATTTTCATGTTCATCAAATATCTGCCAGTGATGAAAATATTCTGTAAATCCTACAGCATACTGATCCTAGTTTTGCTATAGATGATTCCATTATGCTAACCCTGCTAGGAAAATATTTCTTGCTATCCAGAAGACACGCAGCACCATCAAGCGTGTGTCTAGTATAGACTATAGCAGGGCACTCTTTTGGAGTTTTATGAGCTGCACACAGAAAAATCCACTGTTCAGCTGCTGTCATTTGAGGACAAGTATCTGGATGGCATTCACTCTGAAATTTGACAGTAGTTCATTTAGCTCAAGACAGAATTACCTTAAATGTTCAGACTTCCATACACCTTCATCTTGGCCTTCAGGTGGTTCAAGAATTTTATCAATATTAGAGCGATCTGCTCTTATGTTCTGTTGAATATACTGCTGAACAGCAAGTGTACTGTCCATTTCATCAAAGGATCCATCAGGCCAATTATAGAAATCCTGTGCCTTGGTGCCCGGCCTGTTCTGCCTCAACACTGCCGTCCCCTCTGCCATGACCATGGTGCCAGAATCTGGTGACATTGCCTAGTTTTAACTAGGATTAACACTGGGTCAGCTGTCAGGAAAACAGCAGTTTATGGTGTATGGGGGTTGGGTGGGGGGAAAAAAAAAACCCTGTCTAGGGTCACAGGCATGCTACTGCCACTCATCCTTTAAGACCTGGTGTACACACTCTTCATAAAAGCTTCCTGGACTAGAATTATGTCTGCCTACCTAAAACTGCTCACACTGCTTTCCTACTCTCCCAGGACACCTGACACTTGTCATGTATGTTTTAGTCATCGGTGCCTGTGCCTGACCGCCAAGCTTTACGAGCTTCAGGAAGGCAAACTCCACCTCCAATTCATGCGAGCACAGCACCCTGCCTAAGGCAAGGGCTCAATTATCTGCTTCACACATAAGCCAACTACTTGGTTTCATTCATGAAAACAGACCAGAATCACTAATAAGGTCCAACCCAAGCTAAGCTGTCTTCAAAGGCAACGCGCTCCTAGCACCAGTAGAGGGCAAATCCCCAGTTTAACACAACATATAAGTCACTCTGAAAAAAACCAGCGTTATATTCAGATACCTTGGACAGGGCTGCTGCTCCAGGTTTTACAAGTTTGCTTCCTGTAGGTGCTGAGGAGCTGTTCTCCGGCTTGACTTTCTCTACCGTTTGTGTCTTACTGATCCCAGACACTTTAGGCATCGAGCCAACACTCCTGCTTGCTTTCTTCATTCTGGGCTGCCTCTTTGTGATGCATTTACAAGCAAATCTGTGGAAAGAAACAGCATCATACTGAGAACCAAACTGGAAGAAAGCACATTAGAAGTTAATTTTTCAAAGATTTTTTTTTACTATGTAAAGAATAAAAACATATGAAAGATAGTTGTCACTACAGAAAACAGAGGCTGAAAAATGCTTTGGCTTGCTAATCAGAATGTGCCCATTTTCAAGGCTTCCTCGTGGAATAATTATTTGAAATTACTTTGTACATTCTACTTGATCCAGGAGAGGAAATATCCTAGACTTCTAACAGAACTGATGAGACATAACTCAGTGTACAGCATCTGCAGCATTAAATGAAATTGTCACTATCCTAGCATTTATCATTCTGCAGAAACTAAATGTATTTCTCAGCATGTGTCTTTTGTCAAGAGGCACCATGGAAATTCTTCATCAAAACATTAGCACTGGCTGGCACCGTGGCTCAATAGGCTAATCCTCCGCCTGCGGCGCTGGCACACAGGGTTCTAGTCCCGGTCGGGGCACCGGATTCTGTCCCGGTTGCCTCCAAGCCAGCTCTCTGCCATGGCCTGGGAGTGCAGTGGAGGATGGCCCAACTTCTTGGGCGCTGCACCCACATGGGAGACCAGGAGAAGCACCTGGCTCCTGGCTTCGGATCAGCACAATGCGCCAGCCACAGCGCTCCGGCCGCGGCAGCCATTGGAGGGTGAACCAACAGCAAAAGGAAGACCTTTCTCTCTGTCTCTCTCTCTCACTGTCCACTCTGCCTGTCAAAAAAAAATTTTTTTTTTTTTAATTAAAAAAAAAAAGAAACATTAGCACCAGCCAGCGCCGCAACTCACTAGGCTAATCCTCCACCTGCGGCACCGGCACCCTGGGTTCTAGTCCCAGTCGGGGTACCGGTTCTGTCCTGGTTGCTCCTCTTCCAGTCCAGCTCTCTGCTGTGGCCCAGAAAGGCAGTGGAGAATGGCCCAGGTGCTTGGGCCTTGCACCCACATGGGAGACCAGGAGGAAGCACCTGGCTCCTGGCTTCAGATGGGTGCAGCGCGCCGGCCGTAGCGCCCACTTGGGTGGTGTACCACCGGAAAAAGGAAGACCTTTGTCTCTGTCTCTCTCTCTCTCTCTCACTGTCTAACTCTGCCTGTCAGGGGAAAAAAAAAAAAAAAAAGGATCAGAAAATGGGGCCTTTCTGTACACCCACTAAGAAAATCACAGCCTTCATCCTCCTGAGTGGCACCTGCTTGATTCCACTGCTAAGAGGCCTGGATGGTAAGAGTTGCATTACACAAAGCTGAGGCCAGATACACCCTAAATACACATTTGTTAACTGAGCAAGAAAAGCAGTTTCTATAATAATATCACGTCTGGAAAGATACCAGGCATCATTTTGGGTAGAGTAATACAATTAACAAAATGAAAGCCTATTTTTAAATGGAAGGTTTATTTAAGATGACTCTGAGAAACCATACTGCGAACAGAAAGAGGCTGGTTTCCACATACTAATAAAGACAGAATAGCCTTCTGGCAAAGAAAAGGCCCGTCCTAACAGCCTTACTGAACATTTTACCTAGAACGTGCTCAAAACCTCCAGACTGGCTTGCCTTGACGTTACACAAACTATACCAACTGGTCTGGTGGAAAGAACAGTGAGACAGGGTGAACGGGGCTCTACTCCACTCTCCACATGATAAGGCCTGGGTGCAAAAAGAGCCCGTGACTAACATCAACCGAAACACAGGGAAACCTTGGGGACTCTCTGCTCCAGCCTTTGCCTAGCCTCCTAGTTGCTCCTTACAGAAAATGCTGTTAATAGGAATGACTAAATTACTTCTGTACTCTGAACCGTGCTTTCTATTTTCCTATTCCACTTTAGCAATCTGCCCCCTAAGTGCTCCCTCTAGTCCAGCTCTGCCACCTACTTCTACACCTCCCCAAAGGACACTGAAGATGACCAAGATAGATTTGAGCAGTTTCCCTACACTGTTATACTGATCACTGCTTTCCTCACAAGTGAGGAAATTAGATATACTGACAGAAAACTTAGTAACTCAAGGCACTATAGAAAGTGAATGCCTGAAAGTCAGGAGCCAGGAAATTCACCTGGGTCTTCCACTTGGGTGGCAGGGACTGAAGTACTTGAGTCATCATTTGCTGCCTCCCCCAGTGAGCATTAGCAGGAAGCTGGACAGGAAGTGAAGGTGGGACTCAATCCTAAGCACTTTGATATGGGATACAAACATCCCAAGTAGCAGCTTAACTTGCTGCACTACAATGCCCACCCCCATATATGGCTTTGTGGTTTGTTTGTTTGTTTGTTTTTTTAATTAAAGATTTACTTATTTATTTAAAAGTCAGAGTTACAGAGAGAGGAGAGATAGAGATCTTCCATCCGCTGGTTCACTCCCCAAATGGCCACAATGGCTGGAGCTAGGCCAGACGGAAGCCAGAAGCCAGGAGCTTCCTCGGGGTCTCCCACGTGGATAAGGGGCCCAAGGACTTGGGCTATCCTCCACTGCTTTCCCAGGCCATTAGCAGGGAGCCAGATCAGAAGTGGAGCAGCTAGGACTCAAACCAGTGCCCATATGGGATGCTGGCACTGCAGGCCACGGCTTTAACCCACTGTGCCACATGCTGGCCCCCCAACATATACTTTTAAAAATGCTTTGTTTATAGGCACAATAGCCACTTTGTGCACCAGCATCCAACATCAGAGTAGAGTTTTGAGTCCTTGCTACCTTGCACTTCCCATCCAGCTTCCTGCTAAAACACCTGGGAGGCAGCAGATGATGGATCAAGTACTCAGTCTTTGCCAACCATGTGGGAAGACCCAGATGGGGTCCTCCTGGCTTTGGCTCAGGCCAGTCTGGCTGTTGTGTACGTTTGAAGAGTGAACCAGTGGATAGAAGACCTCTCCTTCTGCCCCCCACCCCAACTTTCAAGAGGGACCTGGAGGAAGCTCCTGGCTCTTGGCTTTGTATCAGCCCAGCTCAAGCTTTTTTTTTTTTTTTAAAATATAAAAAATTTATTTTTTTTTTCCGACAGGCAGAGTGGACAGTGAGAGAGAGAGACAGAGACAAAGGTCTTCCTTTGCCGTTGGTTCACCCTCCAATGGCCACCGGGGCCGGCGCACCGCGCTGATCCGATGGCAGGAGCCAGGAGCCAGGTGCTTCTCCTGGTCTCCCATGGGGTGCAGGGCCCAAGCACCTGGGCCATCCTCCACTGCACTCCCCGGGCCACAGCAGAGGGCTGGCCTGGAAGAGGGGCAACCGGGACAGCATCCGGTGCCCCAACCGGGACTAGAACCCGGTGTGCCGGCGCCGCAGCTCACTAGGCTAATCCTCCGCCTTGCAGCGCCGGCACACCGGGTTCTAGTCCCGGTCGGGGCGCCGGATTCTGTCCCGGTTGCCCCTCTTCCAGGCCAGCTCTCTGCTGTGGCCAGGGAGTGCAGTGGAGGATGGCCCAAGTGCTTGGGCCCTGCACCCCATGGGAGACCAGGAGAAGTACCTGGCTCCTGCCATCAGATCAGCGCGGTGCGCCGGCCACAGCGCACCAGCCGCAGCGGCCATTGGAGGGTGAACCAACGGCAAAGGAAGAACTTTCTCTCTGTCTCTCTCTCTCTCACTGTCCACTCTGCCTGTCAAAATAAATAAATAAATAAATAATGTCAAACTACAGTAATCCATGAAGTACATAACATATTTTTGTCAAAAAAGTATTTCTTAAAAGCATTTAAAATAGATTTGCTGCTCCCAAAGAAAGAAGTCCTGGAGCCTCCTCTCCCAGGCAGTACCAGTCCCTGAGTCCTCAGTGAAGCAAGTGCAGGCGACTACAGGGGAGAAGCAGACTCGGTGCAAGCAGCTGACCCAGGGTCAAGCATTCTCCAGTGACAGGAGTCTGGACCCCACCTCTAGCCCTCCAGCAGCTCCACAAGGCCTCTAGAGCACCCGCACACACGAGCTCCCTCAGGAACACCAAAGCTTGACCTCAAAGAGTATTTCACAAGACACAAAACAAAGGGTAACAACATTACGTTACACTACTCAATCTGCCCCTTCAAGATTTATCTACTTGTCCTATGGTTCAGTGCTGGCATTCATACAGAAAACTTAATATTTTTGGCACTAAATACTGTGTTATTTAATATAAAATATTTTTAGAGAAGAAAATTTATTGCCAAGTCTAGATCGGTATTAAGTCAGAGCTATAAAATTCTTAGCTATAATCATATTGATTTACAGGTAGTTGTTACTTTGCTATTTAAAGTGATTATTTGTTAGGCATGGGTGGCAGCATAATCCTGCATGTTAGCAAGCTGCAATCTGGGTGGCCACAGCTCTTGCCAGGATGTCCCAGTGCTCCCTGGGTCCTCGGGACAGGATTTACAGCTCTGGGAGCCCTGCCTAGAGTTAATTACACCTCCCACAGCCACACAGGACGTTCCACAGTTTCCCTCACATCTATAAGATCATATAATTAAAACCTACCATGGAAAACAAATTAAGGCCTGTCTCTTACATTCCACATGTGATAGATAAAACATTTAAAAAATCAAACCACAGAATTCTTAGAAATAAATTATCTTGGAGGTCATTTATAGGAAATCCCACATGCAATGTCATTGACAAAAAACAAACAAACAAACAAACAAACAAACTTCCAGTTAGGTAACAAGCATCTACTGTTAGAGGATTCTGACCACTAAAAAGTCACAAGCAAGTCAGGACTGACTCAGCACTCAGTGAACACTCATCCTATGTCCAAGCAAACCAAGCCTCAATTCTCTGGGTACCCAGTCAGGAAAGACACAGATAAATATATGGGCATATAAAGACAACTAGGACAGAAATACAGTCATCCCTGGGTAGCCACAAGGGCTGGTTCCAGGACCCCCCACAGATACCAAAAGCCGCAGACACTCCAGTTCCTTACATGGAGTGGCATAGTATTAACATAACCTACAAACATCCTCCCATATTCTTTAAATTATTCCAATATTACTTATGATACCTAATACAATGTAAATAGCTG